GCCAAGAATCTGAAAATATGATGAGGTCATTTTGACCAAATTTGACTTAATCCTCATTTCGATATGATGGCTCACAAATATATATTTCTTTTGAAAAAAACAAAACAAAACAAAGAAAAACCAACTACTACTACTTAAAAGAAAAAATTCCTCAAGGCACAAACAGCCTGCGAATATTCATTAATAACATAGTTCACTTTTTAACATCAGAGATGAACATCACACAACAAAAACAATCTAAAAATTTAAAAAAATACTCAAATTAATACTTAAACTTGCTTTTTCTCATAACTTTTGACCCAGTCAGTGCATCTTTGAGTGTGTTTTTTTAATAGAATCGCTATTTTGACTTCAGTATTCATTTATGTATGTATTGTTTGCATCTATTTCAGTGAGTTTTTTGTGTGACCTGTGGGTGATTCGTTTCTTCCAGCTGAGAACTCCTGCACGTTCTGGTCCAGTGCTGGCTCTGTGGTGCAGCACGGGTCTAGTTTCACGGTGTACTGCATGTTTAACTGCAAGTGCAAAGGGTCCATGTACAGTGACGGTCCAGACACCCCATTAAGCCCCAAACAGTTGAACTCTACAACCATCTACCTGAATGTGGAGGGGATCACAGAGAAAAGAACGTACGGCTGCAGATGCAACAATCATGAACCAAAGCCCCTCTGCCTCTCACAGGACCCCTGTGGACTCGACATTTCACCTGGATGTATGGAGAAGTTTCATTCAGATGTTTTTCAACCAGATTACTGCAAACTCTTCAATGATAATCTGATGCTGGTTTATTCTAGGCCTGCAGCTTGATTGGTGTTTAGAAATGAAGCTTTCAAGTGCAGGAAATTAGGCTTTCTTTGAATTTCTTTGCTTTAAGGCGGGTGACCTTTTAAAATGTTTAGAGCTGTTAAAAAAGAACATTAAGTTCTGCTTTCTGTTCTTAGTCAATGCTCAGTTCACACTTAAATGTAATACTATCCCCCCTAACAACAGAAGTGTGACTGATGGAAGCTTGTCATGCTGAAACATGCACAAAATGATATAAAGTTTAACTTGGCAAGTCAAACACAAGCTGTGTTTCCATTGACCATGAAAATGTGCAAATTAGAATTTCGAAAAAAAATTTGCTCAATGGAAACACGTCAATTTCGAAAAAAATTAAGATTTTTGACAAAATGTTTTTGCGCTAGGATGAGGTGGTTTTTCGGCCGTATCGAAATTGGTGTTTTTCGCAAAAGGGCAATGGAAACAGTAAMCGTGTTTCCATCAAGGATTTTTGATGYGCATTTAGAAGTGTTGCATTAAAAATGCGGAAAAAAGTCAGATGGAAACAGCAAAATTCGAAAAAAAAATCCTCAATTCGCTAAAAAGTTTTTACGCTCGCTTGAGGTGGTTTTTGGATGATTCGCAAAGTAGTTAATGTGCAGCTGTTCCCAGGTACCGGTACCAGTTTCGGGTCGGCTGCAGCTGCGACTGGCAGCAGGACCCTCCTCTCGCTGTTTGTGTCTTCTCAGTAATCCCGTAACGTGAAGAAAATTGAACTTCTTTCTCTACGTCTCCAGACAGCAATAACATCGCTAAAACTAGTTGGTAACAGAATAATTACAACTTTCCTGATAGAAGAAGCACGTTCCTGATAACTTCTCTCCATTACCCTGMGATGTGTGGACGCTGTGAGTTTAGTGATGGTTACTTCCTGTTTACTATGCACATGCGTATGACGTAATTGATTCGCTTCAAGCCACTTGATGGAAACATGGCTGATTTGCATTTCTTAATTTTTTCCTTTTTGTGAAATTATTAAAATTCACTCAAAATTTGAATTAAAATTGGATGGAAACACGGCCATCGACCATGAAAATGCGCAAATTAGAATTTCGAAAATAAATTTGCTCAATGGAAACACGTCAATTTAGGAAAAAAAATACGTTTTTCGACAAAATGTTTTTGCGCTAGGATGAGGTGGTTTTTCGGCCGTATCGAAATTAGTGTTTTTCGCAAAACTGCAATGGAAACACTTTTTTCACATCACAGGAGTCACGTGATCAACAACCGGCTGTTTCTACTGGTGAAAAAGACGATGATGAAGAAGATAACAGGAAGTAGAAGTAGTAGTAATATCACAGAAGTAGTAAAAGAAAGTAGTAAACTCAACACTACAGTTTCCCAAAAACACAGCATACGTAGCCGCTCCCAAGTAGGGACTTGTCTCTGGAAAGCCTCGATAAAAGACGCCGACGTCTCCTCTGATGATGAGCGCTAGTGTCGTGGTAGCAACATGCTATGTGTTTACATCCATCGCTGCCATGTTTGTAATGACTTATCRYGAGAACAAATGTATTCATGTGACTTTAATAGCATTTCTTACTTAATGGAAACWCTGCAGTTGTGAAACTGTGTTTTTCCAACATTAACAGAATATCGACAAAGTTTTGCACACATTTGAAATGGAAACACAGCTACTAAGAAAAATGTGATGCATTAGTTATCTTTAGGACATTTTTACTGGTCAGGATTAAATCAGGTTCTGAAAAAATAAATGTTGAGTTGCTATAGTTTGTTTAAAAAAATTTGTTTGTAGAATTTTTAACCCACTTCGTCTTTTCCCTGAACTTTGGTGTCCAGATCCACCAGATCATCCAAAGAACATTTCATGCGTCTATGAAATCTCGAACAATGAGACAGGAGTTGTGAACTGCGTTTGGGACAGAGGACGAGACACTTACCTTCAAGATCACTTTGTCATGTGGTGTGTCACGAAGTTCATTTAATCCCTTAATAGTTATTTTCATTAACATTACATTTACATGAACAAAATGTGTTTACACTTAGAGATGTTGAACTGAAACTTTTTGTGATTTTCAGGATGAGAGCTGGAAACCACACAGAAACACATGTGTTACATGAGTCCAGTAAAGGAACTGAGAACCTATCAGCTAACTTYACTTTGTCCACATCAGTTCAGTACATCTTGGTTTGGGTTCGAGCTCAAAATGTTTTGGGTTCTGTTGAGTCGTCCATTGTGAATTACACAGTCAGTGACATTGGTAAGTAGTTGTGTACATGCAACTTCTTTATGGACCTCTCAYCTTAATCCCACACTGATACCAAACTGTTTAGGTAAAAAAAAAAAAAAAGGAGGCAGGAGAACCAAGCTTGTTGAGTTCTATCAATTTGTTACAAAATAAATGTCAAACAGAACAGTCTAGGCATGAGACAGATCCAAACACAGAATGTGTGCAACCACAGATTGTCAGAGCGCTGATTTAAATAAGGCTTAGCAACAGTCCAAGTCTTAGTTTAACACGTACCGTACAATTCTGTTTCACCGAATGATGAGTTCTTCAAAGATTAGCAGTATTCTAGCAGTTAAGTTTATTTTCCATAACAGTGATGATTAACAGAATTTAAATCAACTTTAATGTGTAAGTTTTTATTTTCTCGAGTTTTTCAGATTAAGAATATTATCTTCCTCCTCCAGTTATGCGCGTCGTTCAGTTTGTACAGCCATGTTCTGTAATGATCTCTGTAATTTGTCCCATGTTTGCTCTGATCTGAGCAGTGATGCCATCGACGCCTGTTCTTGCCCAGCCTGAGTGCTCTTCCAGGAACTGCAGCATACGACTGAGGCAGTTTGATGTGACTCAGACCCTACAGATCCAGTTCAGAACTGAACAACAGCAGCAGTGGACAACTCATCCAGACTCTGTAAGGACTTTCAACTCCCCAGTAGTGATTTAGATAACCTTTAATCTGACGAGATGTAGAAGTACAAAACAATTTAAACTGAAGCTGTAGAGCTACTTGTTGATTGGTTCACACCTGCTCCTCTGCTGATTCAGAGCTAAAGGCAAGTATGAGGGCCAGCCCTAATATGGGAAGAAATGAAAGTACAATGACAAACCAGTCGCAAGTTGAACCTTTTATGCTCTTTTGTGTGTTTTCACTAGCTGCGTTTCCATTGACCATGAAAATGTGCAAATTAGAATTTCGAAAATAAACGTACTCAATGGAAACACGTCAATTTCGAAAAAATTTATGTTTTTCGACAAAATGTTTTCGCGCTAGGATGAGGTGGTATTTCGGCC